GAAGGATGAAGCAGAGACAGAAGCCTTGGCAGGAGTTTGATTTCAGAAATCAGGTTGAATGTCAAGGAGCACTTTCTCTGATCTGTTCATTCATTTGTAGGGTTTTCAGCTGACCTGAGGTGTTCTGTACTTATTCTATATAGGATTTATGGACTAATGTGATTAGAAAAAACGTAGTTTATGGACCTGAATATGCCTTTACTCTCTCAAGTACAAGTCAGGAGTAAGATAAAATTAGTGTGAGAATGAGACCCATATTTTTTCAGTTACACCCCAATCAAGATTATATTGTGGGAGTGGGAGAAAAATACAAACCAGTATATGCTGCTTAGACATTGAACTGTTTTCCTCAAAGTTAAATAAATTGTGCGTGTTTGGGAGAACCATAATGCAAAGGCAGAGGTGTCAGCAGGATACAATTAAGTTGTGAATTGCCAAGCAGAGATGTAATACGGAAAACCCTTACCTGTTGTGAGCAATTCTATTTGGATTACTCATGAACATTTCAGTCAGACTTCTCACAAGTGCCATTGAGGAGAACTTCATTGGCTCTCCTGTAGCTATTTCAGCTTGCTTCCCTGAAATAATATTACATTTGTGAATGTATCCATTTCTGTATATATTCTCTTTTCCCTCATATATGTTTGCTTTCACTTGTGAAAGTCATGTTTGTGGTTTTTTTATCTTGTCTTTAATGAGCTGTACCTCTTTGCAGTGTATTAGGTATTATATTTAAAATACCAGCGCAGATATGCCATGCTCTATTAAATGCAAGAACATCTCTTATATATGGAGAAATGAATCATTTCCAGGGAAGGAAGTTAAAATTATAATTCAACCAAGGCAATTCTGTTCTTTGTTTTCAGACAGGAAGTGCACTATCTTAAGGACATCTGAATCTCATCTGTAATTACAAAGTTGTCATTCCTTTATACCAATAATATAATTAAGTAATGCAAACCGTTAACAGAATAAAAGAGGTTAAATTGCCTTTTTTCACTCAAAACAGTTTCTAGTTAGTTCGTGACAGAAAGTTGTCCTAATACAATGCATTATTGGCTAGTCTCGCTATTGAGACTATTGTTGATGGGCTAAGCTACGAAGGCTGGAGGTGGGTGGGTACACTCCCGACTAGTTGCTATTCAGAGATTTTGGGTGTCCATTTTAGAAACAAACAAAAGCATCATTTGCCTGATGCAATATGTGAAGTGATCTTTTTCCTGTGCAAAGCCTGTGTTTCTTTCCTCTTCAGGACAGAACTTTAGAGACCAAATCATATACTGCGGAAAAAATGTGAAGGTTCAGCTTTAGAAAAGGAAGAAAGAGGAACATGCTTTCATGTTTCCCAAGGCCATTTTACAGAATTCCTGCTTTCCTGGACTGTTACAGACAACAGTCTGTAACAGATGAGGATATAGTTTCTTGAGTATATATTCACTGAGAATGGCTAGTTAATCTTGATTTCCAAGATCAAGACCCTAAATACAAGACTCTCATATACAAGGCTGTCAAATACACCAGAAAGCTGCTGCGGCACCCGAAGAGTCAGTGCGGAGGCTGCAGCTGAGCAAGCGGGAAAGCTGGTGCTTGTTCTTCATGAACGGTGGCTCCACAGATCATGGTCCAACCGTCTCTGTTCACTTCTGAATGGCAAATAAGCCTTCCTGACTGCGGAAGTTAAACCACCTGCGTTGTTACAAATTATCTGTTTTCCCTCATGTCTATAGGACATTCTATTCTTTTTTTCCTGGTGCCGTGCTAGTGCCTTTAAAGTTTTGTTTTGCTAGTAATAGAAATTTATTTTAGTTCTTCTTTTGAAATATGGATAAAGAGGTTTCTACGAGCACATACTCAGCAAATGCATTGATATGTTCTAATTAATGAATTAGCCATTCCCTGCCACAATAATTCACTTTATCTCTAACCATTCCCAGTGAATTATTTAAATAGTGACATTTCTTCATTAGCAAACTGCCATTTGCATCACTTTTACATTATTGCTCTCATTATTAATTATACTTTTAATAATTCTTTAGTGCTTGGTCTCATCAATAAGGAAAAATGGATGGTGCCCATGGAGCGTTTAGCCTTATCTCAATTCTGTATCCCTAACACCATTGCCAATAGCACAAGAGTAGATACATAATGCTTTAACTGGCAGTCTTTCCCTTTTGTATATTCCCTTGTCTCCTTTTCTCTCCTGTATGCTAATATCCCTGAGTTTGTTCCGTAAAAGCAAAGGATGTTTCTGTATTAATGACTATTTAAATAACAGAATTACATTGCTGTTGTACTTGCTTCTTTCTGTCCCAGACAATGACTATGAATTAATTAGCATTAGAACATTGGAAATTCCTATGAATTTTAACATTTTATTTGGAACAGTCTGTGTGCATTATTGAATGATATTACACCTCCTAATGCAAAACTGATGCTATCTCTACAAACCTCTGGGGGAGCGTGTGAGGTCATTAAAGTTAGATTTGCAAAGAAAATACATGGATTTCTCTCTCACATTATTCTTTCCTGTGCTGATAATGCTATTTTTGAGCTCTTGCTCAAAGTGGCTCATTTGTATTGAAAGATTCTCTTATCTTTTATCCTATTCATCTGCCTTTCCCAACTTTTCATTTCATAAGGGAAATGAACTGTGTTTTTTCAATACTTAAAACATTCTTACAGGAAAATGAGAACTTACATTTTCAGCTGTTGGTGTTGTCTCCAGAGGCAGTGGTCACCGAAAGGCAGCCTAGCATGAAAAGCAAATATACATGTCAGAAATGAAAATAACAATTTATACCATGTCTCCTTCCTGTCTTCATTGCTGATAGTTTATTCCCTCCATGAAGGAGGATTCCAGAAGTAACGCTGTTTTGGCCTCCAGGCATCTGCATGGGAAGAAGAATGATGTTTTATTAAAAATTCTCCCTGGAATCCTAAGCTTGTTCTATATTTCTGCTGATTGTTTATTATTCTTTTTATTTTTAAAACAAAGGGTTTTTAAATTAATGGATTCACGGGAGCTCACAACGTAATTAGCACCCTGCCAGTGACTGAGGGAGAAACACTGGCAAACACAATCCCTCCGGAAAGCAATGAGTCCCTCTGTACTACCTACTGAGCAAAATCTTAGTTTGTTAAGCCAGGCGGATTGCTTAAATAGATTTTTTTTCCTTCAGAATCAGGTATTACATCCATAACCTACATTTTTCTTTTTTAAAATAAACTTTTTTTTTCAAAAGTGAATAGCAACATGTATTTAGGCTTAACCTTACCAATCTGTATTAACAAAATTTGCATAAAATTTATAATACGTAAGTAATATATTCTTGATGGTTAGGTTCTAAAGAAAGCTATTGAACAGAGAAGAAAAATACTGTCTATGCATCCAGAACCAAAGGTTGTTGAAATGATTAAACAGCTGTTAACAGCAGACAAAAGAAATGTTTTCTTCATTTCAGTCTGATTTACTTCAATAACTAGTTCAAAGTTAAGGAACTGCTTAGAAATAGAGTAAGCCGAAGCATCATTATCTTTAAATGGTCTATGAATAAATTCTCAGTCTGGGATGCTGAGACTTATGAATTCATTCATTAACTGTATATAAAATTTGCTTTGGTAATAAACCAGTTTTAAGTATAAAATGATACATACATTTTTCCTCTGTATACAACATATTTATTGCAATTTTATTTAGATAATAAATACACTAAAAAGGCCAGGTTTTTGCATTTCAATTGAATTCCCATTTCCATCCAAAGCAGCTTGATACGAGTCGTAAGTAAATAAAAATTAATCATCTATAAAGAAGAATTATCATTCATTTCTAACAGAATGCTATGTAAGCGTTAAGCATTTGAATAATTATGCTGAACTATATCAGTTCTTAAATGGGAGTGTAAGGCATTTTTCTGGTAGTGTATGGAAGTAACAGATTAGTTTAAAAACTAAGACTCAGTTGCAAAGCAACTTTTTTTTAAGTTTACCTACCAAAAACAATCAAACTCACTTGAGGAAAAAAGAATAATACACATTCAAAATAAGCATAGAAAGGTTTTTTTAAAAATTTGTTTTATGGTTTTCATATTTTCTAGTGAATATGAATTATTTTCACAAAAATAATGTTTGAACATCTCATGAGAAATAGTTTTATATTGAATTCTTTTTGTGAAAAATATTTGACAGGTTTTCCAGAAATATTATAGTTCAGGGCCTTATAAATAGGCAATTCTGCGCTATATGGGAGACAGAATGGCGATACGAACAAACTCCCTACCTTAGGAGCATCTATACTCAGAATTTTAATTCAGTAGAAAATTCCAACATTTCTAAAATTAATTTAATTTCCAACTGGAAGAAAATTAAGTTTTGACATTTTCTACTTACTAAAATTCTGTTTAAAAGCGGTGGAAATATCAAAATAGGCAATACTTTTCCCTCAGCAAGAGTAAAGCAGTTAAACTTTGATGTAACAAGAGTTACATTAATTTATTTTAAAAATGTAGATTTATGCTTACATTGTTATTGATTTGGTTTATATGCACATGATGCCGGTATTTTAATTAGAAAGACTTGGTTGCTTTATATTAGGCTTCTTTAATGGCTTATCAATATCAGAAAATTCATATTCTTTCTTTAAAACAATAACAACAGTGGGTTCTGTTAAATCACACAGCTGACAGAGACACCTATTCCCAACTTGCTGAAAGCTGTGAATTAAGGAATTCATTTCAAACCTAAAATTGCTAGAGAAGCTTTTCAGAGTGTAGTTTGCTAGCCACTCTTGTTCGTGTGTATCCAACACGCCAGCGTGCTTATAAGGGGAATGAAATCTCAGCAGCAGAGGTCCATTTCTCAGTGCTGACTGAGCTAAAGGAGAAGCAAGAGATTTTGTCATGTGAGTGGTGAGGAGCGCATTTAAAGCAGCAAGGATCTCACCGGTTTCAACTAAGTGCTGATATACTAATTATGCCTTAACTGCATCTCCTGTTTCCTCCTAGGTCTTACTGCTGCAGCATCTCTTGTATCCCTGGCTTGGGCTTTGGCTTCCTACCAAAAGGCCCTCCGTGACTCCCGTGATGACAAGAAACCCATCAGTTATATGGCTGTTATAATCCAGTTTTGCTGGCATTTCTTCACAATTGCAGCAAGGGTTATTACTTTTGCTCTGTTTGCCTCGGTTTTCCAGCTGTACTTTGGGATCTTCATCGTGCTGCACTGGTGCATCATGACCTTCTGGATCGTCCACTGCGAGACAGAGTTTTGCATCACTAAATGGGAGGAGATAGTTTTCGACATGGTTGTTGGGATAATCTATATCTTCAGCTGGTTCAATGTCAAGGAAGGAAGGACACGCTGTAGGCTTTTCATTTACTATTTTGTGATCCTTTTAGAAAACACCGCCTTGAGTGCTCTCTGGTATCTGTACAAGGCCCCACCAATCTCTGATGCATTTGCCATACCAGCACTGTGTGTAGTGTTCAGCAGCTTTTTAACAGGCATTGTTTTTATGCTAATGTACTATGCCTTCTTTCACCCCAACGGACCAAGGTTTGGGCAGTCACCAAGCTGTGCTTGTGAGGACCCTGCCGCTGCCTTCACCCTACCCCCAGAAGTGGCAACAAACACTCTACGGTCCATCTCCAACAACCGGAGTGTCACGAGCGAGCGGGATCAAAAATTCGCGGAGAGGGATGGGTGTGTGCCTGTGTTTCAGGTGAGACCCACCGCACCGTCCACACCTTCATCCCGGCCACCAAGGATTGAGGAGTCTGTCATTAAAATCGATCTGTTCAGGAACAGGTACCCAGCGTGGGAGAGACACGTGTTGGACAGGAGCCTGAGGAAGGCGATCTTAGCGTTTGAATGTTCCCCTGCTCCTCCACGGCTACAGTATAAAGATGATGCCCTTATCCAGGAGCGCTTGGAATATGAAACCACATTGTAAATGGAACAAAAACACAGCTTGAAGAAGCTCCGACGTTACAGTCCAAATTAAGGGTTGACAATAGGGCTGTAGGAATAACTAAACTGCATACTACAAGTAGAGCAGCAAGCTGTAGTGTTCTTAGTCTGGCTATCATCATGATTATCATTTGATCCACTGTGTGCAGTCTATCTGCAGGACACTGATACAGCAGCGTCACCTGAAAGCCTCAAAAGAACCCAAACCCTGACCCACATATACAGATCCGTTACTTCAGCTGGGGAAACTCACCCACGACTCCGTGCTGCTATGAAACTCTGACTGCACAGTACTTACAATCAAAACAATAGGAAAGCTCTGACCAGAGCTTTCAACTTTAGCCAGTAGTGCATTTTATTTTAGAAATGAATGATTGATATTTGCATAATCAATGGCAAAAACAAACAAAAAAACCCTTTTCAAAAATAACAAAACTGTAGCACTCAATGTTGCTGTTATGAAAACTGTTTTCTGGGGAAAAAACAGGAGCATAGTAGTCTTCAACACTCCCATAAATCAACGATTCAGGTTAGAATAAGTTTGCAAAATAGTTCTTAACTAAAAAGATACATCGTCATGTTTGTAAGGCTGTCAATGGAAAGTAAACTAAATTCTGATTAATTAGGTCTTAAACATTAATACTACCAGAACTGTTTGTTTTCTGTGGAATTTCAAAGTCTTTTAAAATGCAATTTAAGTTCTTTATGTTACTTTCAACAGAAATCCTATGCAGCTCACTTCTGGTTTTCAGGAGAAATAAGGAGCTCTAGCACGTAGTGATGTAAATTAAATGATAATCATGATTCAGTGTTCAATTTGCAAAAATATATATATATATGTGTAAAAGAACAGGGAAGTATAGTTTTCGTATTCTAAACTTTTTGGAGGACCCCATTCAGATATTTCGGAAGAAACTACGAGGAGATGAACACGCTGAAACTTCTCTGTTTCAGGACTGAGAATGCATGATTCAGTGTGTGAATGTATGCAGGGGTGACAAGAGACTGTGACATGCCATACCCTTCTAGTGCCAAACATTGTATAACTGCAAGGTTGATATTGCCTGAGGGACAGATAACGAGTGGCACGAGCCCTACCAGAACAAGAAGCAGGAAAGACCAATCAAGTTCTCAACGTGTAGAGACAGCTCTGATTTTTCCCACCCAAGGTGAAAGTGATGTCTTTTAAAGGCTTTCAGCCACGTCTTAGTAAGTATATTCACCGAAGTATAATATAAGCAAGTTATGTGGAAGATCCTCTTCTGCCTGTTCAAGACTTGTGTCCAGATGCGTCTAAAAATTACGTTGAATCTCTTGTAATAGAGTGCTTTTGCTGCAAGCTTTTGGGTTTTAAATACCTCCCTAAATCTAGTCAATGGTATCCTCCTTTATGTTAAAAGTATCCCCTGATGGTGCTTTCAGAAGCATTAAAGGTGCAAGTCAAAATTTGATAGTATTTTTTTTAAAGCTGGTGCAGAGTGAAAAACTCGTGAATTATTTCAATATTTTTGTAAAGTAAAAATATGGTATAAAAAGGTTACTTTTTATAAACCTCAAATCTTTTAATACATTTCATTCTCTTTATAGCTTAGATTTTAAGAATTGGTCCATGAATTTTATCAACTGGCTTCTGCAGGTTGATATAAACCTGGTTTTCACACATTATGGATTTGTTTTGCAGTGTAATGCCATATGAAAGCCTACATGGGTACTTTTAGAATACTCTATAATCCGTGGATCCTGCTTCAAATGCGAGTGGCTTGTAAAGACGCCAAGCGATTCCATAAGAAACAATTTGCTATAACTATTTCCATCCGTTTTAGGAGAGCGAAGCAGAACTGAAGAGTTACTGTTGTAAATGGCATCGTCAGGATGGAGAAGACCTGATGATTGGTATTGTAACCTTCACTGTCAGGTATATCCAGTGTAGTCACTGTTGTACATGCTGCTGGGTAAATTTCAGTCTTTCCTGTTATTAATATTTGTACTATGAAATGGCCGAGGTTACACAGCCTATGTTTATTTGTATGCGTTCAATTAGCCATTTTTAATGTTGACTTTTTTTATTAGTGAAACGTTCGATACATGTTGTTCTTTGCTGGGGCAAGTTCCTCAAAACAAAACATCTGTGGAAGTGCAGGAATCTGCAAGTCAGAGGGAACTTTACACAGATCAGAAAATACCCGTGCTTCAAGGGTTTCTTAGGTATTTGCAAATTAAGCAGTGGCCAACTGCCTCTATAATAATTTTTTAAATAAAATAATTCTTTGATAGTCCAAACCTGAAGCTTTGTACAAAGTGATTGCCCTTCCCTCCATGGAGATATAGCTGATTATTTAGAGAAAAGCACTCATGTTTTGTCAGAAAATATACCACTGCAAGAACTGCTAAAAAAAGATTTTGGGAGCACATCCTTTGGCCTGTCAAATTCAGTAGAGCCTTCACTCCAGAATCAAACGCTAGGTCGCACAAGGAAATTGCTGCTTTTCTTTACAAACAAGGCAAATGATAAACTTTGTAATCCAAGATGTGAGGGTTTCTTTTGGAAACAGTTCAATGTGTTTGCTGCTGCTTTAACAATTCCAAAATTTTAGCATGAGTGAGGCACAGCAGGCAGCGGTCTCGAGCCCTTTGGTCAGGGCTTACAGAATTGAAGAAACATTGCTTCGTACAGAATTTAAAGGGTTACGGTCTGGACCAGTGTTTGCATTCCAAGGTTTCTGAAGAAGGTTTGGGGTGAGTTTGTTTGATTTGCTCTTGTTTGGTTTTGGAAGGAAGGACACAGAGGCATTATTTATCCATGTGGTTTTTAATATCTAGCATTTACTTTCTTCACTCTCCCAGCATTTTTTATTTTTTTTAATAATGTTTGTAAATTTATCTTAAGCAAACCACTGTAAGGTCTGAGTGCACAGCACCACACATAGCAGTACATATACACAGCTTGTCTTCAGAATTCAATCTGGCTGTTTGAGGAAGGGGAAGAAGTCATTTTATACCAAGTCAAAATTTGCTTTCCAAAATCTTGCTCTGTTATGTTCATAATGTCAGTGATACTTGCACTGAGAACAGGATGGCCATTGAAATCTTAACACTCAGATGACTACATGGACAGTTTCTTAATTTGCTTTGCTGTGAACAGTCGCATTAAAAACTGTAAGAATTTTTTATAAAAGTTGTCAAGATTAAACATAGTCCACGTTGAAATCCCGTGATGGCCTTACGGAGAGTTAATAATCAATATGCACTATTCTTTTTACCACAGACAGTTTTAAGATCTATTAATAAAGTTCAATTAAGACAGCAATAGCAAAAAAAAAAAATTGTAAAAAAATTTAACTTCTGCTTTTGAAATAATGAAAAGATCAGGTGTTTGAAATTTCCTTCCAGAATAACATAAAAATTAAAAAATTCATAATTATATTCTGGTAAAGAAAAGCAATCACATCTCTTTGTTAGAAGTAAGAGTCATGTAAGCATTGTTCTAATGAATCAAACAAATTTGCCATCAGATTTAACAGTAACTTATCTGGCTAAAGACTTGGTCCTAAAATTCTGAGAGTTGTGAATTTGTGTGCTACAGAAAAGACAATTTAAGTAGCATTCACTACTCTAATTAGATAAAGGAGAGGTAATGAATACCCATGTTCATTCAGAAAACATATAAGAAAATGTAAGATAAACCTTTTGTCTTATTTTAAAAGAAATTTGTTCTATAATAAGATAATCCTTTTTTTAAAAAATGAATTCTTCAAAAATATGTGCAATACTTTTTTTCATGCAGATTTTATAATGAAAAAACTCATTTCCACTTTTGTTTATGTCAGTTTAAATATGTTTCTTGTGCTAGAACAATGTGTCTGTGCTTGGGTTATACGGGCTTGATGGCATATAAACACTATTTTCATTGGCAAATCAACAAATTTTTTATTAATTAATTTCTATAATCTTTGAGAAAATTTTCCTTCCAAAATTAGATGCTAGGCCTCAGCTGCCTGATTTTGTAAACTTTTAAGCAGGGGAGGTAAATTAAAATTTTATTGGAGCTGCAATTTTTAATATGTGGTGAATAGCTATTAAACCCAAATTTGTTTAAAATGTATGATAGTCTAGCCAATATATCATTATCTCCACAAAAGAGCAATTCATGAGTGGTACTAAAAGTATGAGTGCTGCTTTATTTGGAAAGGGACTCCCAATCACACAATATATTCATTTACTTTTTATTGGCCAATATTTGCAACTAGCCTGTTGTTTTTTTTAGAACCCAAATTAAACGATTTTGAAGTGCTGGTGATTTGGTCATACAACTCCTTAAGAGCCTTAAAAGTGGCGCTGCACTGAGTTTTAGTTGGCTCTGCCAGTGATTCAGCTCCCAAAGCCACTGCTCTTTCTGCGCTCCGTCCCTGCAGTCGTGCAATCCGGGGTGACTGAGATGCTGCGATTTACTCTGCACCTCCTGCACTGCCTGCACAATGCCAAGGAAAAGACTTCAGCAGATTGCTGGGGTCCTACTGCTGCCTCTCTTACTCCTGTGCATGGTGGGAAGCAGAGTAAATTGCATTTGTGCATCTATCTAAACAAGCTTATTTAGGTTGAGTCCCTACAAGAGGTGTGTGATGAAAATAATCACAACGTGTGTCCATGAATTTACAAGCCCCACACTGTAATTACTAATTCTGTAGTATAACAATGCAGAATGTGGGAAGAATTGTCTAAATGCACGATAAGCCATTTAATTTTGCTAATTGTAGCAATTAGACTAGCTCGGATGAAGCCCATGCTCTCAGCAGAAAGCCAAATGGAGTAAGTGGCAAACAGCCATTTATATACCAGAGACGTTACATTATTAAACCCTCCCTTGATTGTTTATAGAACTATGTCTTTTCATTACGGCATTGAGTCCATTCCTCTTTATTCTGATAAAACAGATAAAATGCAAAATGAGAACAGATTATTTTAAATCTGGGAATTAAAAAACCC